GGGGATTAATAAAGTCTATCTATAAGTATAATATTATGATAGACTATACACATAAAAATGTCCTTTAACCTCCCTTTCTCTGCCTTTTTTGGTATATTTATAACTTCTTAGTAAACATTTAATTTTAGCATGACTTTAATAAATCAAATTCACCTGTAATTGTCCTTTTTGTGATCAAATATCTGAACATTAACAGTAAGTAGCTGATACAATACATCACAAATGAGTAAAAGACAGTTACAGAGAGCTTTACATTTTATTATTAATCCAGAACAGTGAGCAAACCATGTTGAAAATATATGATCCAAACATTTCTCATTTTCTATATTTTACCTGCCTACACATAAATCCTGCTCCGACTGAACATTTAGAAACAACTCCTGTAAAAAAAATATGCTAGACGTTATCCAAGACAAGAGGGCAAAAAAAAAAAGTTACATCAGTGTATATAAAATATCTTTTTAATTCAAATCCACTCCCACACACACACACACACATTAAGTTTCTCCCACTTTCTAATCAAAATGTCACAAAAAAAAAAAGGCAGATTTGGTTTCAAAAACAGAACATTTGAATTGTTTGCGACACACATTTTCTCATTTCTACGGATTTCTCTCAGAAGCTGAAGTGATTTTTGATGTCTTTGATCTGTTTCATCATGTCACCGATCTGCTGTCCCTGTTCTCGGAGGACATCCTGAACCACCTTCTTCTGGTGGGCGTTGAGCGCGACCGTGGTCCGGGCCGCGGGCGCGTCTTTGTCCACCTGTTTCTTCTGGTACTCCATCTTCATGTTCACCTGTTTGATGCAGTTCTCCAGGTGTTTGAGTTGATCGCTGACGGCCTGCAGCTCTTTCTTCATGTCCTTCTCGCTGTTGGACAGCACGGGCAGTCGGCTCTGCAGGCTGCCCAGAACCTTCTTGACCCGGTTCATGATGGTTTCCTGGCGGTACTTTGCGTCTTCGTACTTATCGGCCAACCTCTCCGCCGCCTCTCTCAGACTCCTCCGCTCCTCCCGGCACAGACTCATCTCCTCCAGCTGCTTGTTCTTCTGACCCGTCAGCAGCTTGACCCGTCTCTGCATCTCCTCCCGGGCCATGTCCTGCTTGAGGATGTACTCCTCCCTGAAGACCTGCGTGGCTCTGCTGAGCAGCTGCAGACACTCCGGAGGCGGCGGCGACGCGTCCTTGTTGCCCGCCTTCAGTATGGGATTGGTGGAGTTGCGCGCCAGGATGTTGCGGATGTGCTGCTCGAAGGAGTCGTCGGCGAGCCCGCGGAGAGGGGAGCTGCCGGAACCAGAACCAGGACCTGGATGGGAACAAAGCAGAGGAGGGGAGGGCGGGCGAATGGAGCTCAACAGGGGCAACAGGATGCACTCGTAGGCGCTGGTGATGCAGATCATGGTGGCGCCCAAAGCAAGGTCCGACACGATGAGGAAGCCCCGGACTGGAGCGGACTGGTTGGCCAGGAGCGGTCTGGTGCAGAGAATGTGCTCCACAATGCACCGCTTCTCCGCAGCCAGCTCCTGGAGACCGTCCTTGTCCTCCTCGTCCGACTGGAGGAACTTCTGCAGCTTGTGGACCCAGATCAGCCCCACGCTGTGGACTCCGGCTTCGTGGGTGCAGTGGTAGCGCTGCTGGCACAGCGGGTCTCTGTGGAGCCGGATCGGGCAGGTGAAATCAAACTCCTGGGGCTCCTCGTCCTCTCCCGCGGCCACTTTGAGGGTCAGCTCCAGCTCCACGCACTCAAACACGTAGAGGGCCGGCACTGCGTCGGGGCCTCGGATCCACGTCTCCACCGCCGCCGCGTCCTCCTCCTCCTCCGAGTCCAGCACCACACAGTGATACAGGGTGCCGGTCTCCGTGGCGATCACCAGGATGGTGGGCACGCTGGGCAGGCAGAGGATGGCACACGCGTCGTAGCCGTAGTTGTCCTCCGCGGCGGGGTACATGGGGAGGGGTCCGACGGGTTTACTGAGACTCACACCGTTCGCGTGGCTCGTGTAGCTCAGGTAGGTCTCCCCGTT